AGGCAAGGATTCTTTCTAAAAATTCAAGAACATTTTCATGAAATTCAAGCACTTTTCAAGCACAAAATCAAGATTACAAGTACTTTTCAAGTACTCCCCTCAAATTAAATGACTTTTCAAGAACTGTGCGAACCATGTAGAACCTAAGAGGTCACCGAGATGTCACGCGTACACACAGAGAACGAGTTGCTAGTGAAGGTGACGCAAAAACTGAGACAACTTACACGCGCGCTTGTAAGAAAGTCTGCTACTGCTACTGCTGCTGCTGCTGCTGCTACTGCTACTGCTGCTGCTGCTGTTACTGCTGCTGCTGCTGTTACTGCTGCTGCTGCTGTTACTTTTACTGCCTCTGGCTCTACCACTACTACACTACTAACAGTGTGAGCAAGATGTTATACCTCTACGTTCTCATGCCCCAGCAGGTCGGTGAGCACACGCAGCGTCTCCTGCGGCATCGCCTCACAGCGGTACTTTCCCGCCGTGCGCAGACACAGGTTCATGAACAACGCGATGGCGTACTCGAGCGTGTAGTCCGACAGCGAGTCGTGGTCCCGCAGCGTCTCCACCAGCCACTCCAACATGCCCTCCTGTATCATCACCGACTGCAGCACCCTCCTGCGAGCAAAAAACAAAACATTTTTACCTTTTAGAGTTGTTATCGCAGACTCGTTTTTTTAACGTCGAGCATTTTTTAACACAATTGGTTAATTATTTCATTATTTATCTTAATTTCTATCAATTATTGTTCTCTCGGAACGCGGTTTTTATGCGATCTCTCGTAATACCCTAGCGATACTTTTGAGCCAATCGGCCGATATCGCTCCCGTTGCTGACACTCTCGATGCTGTGTGTCGCTGCAGGGTGCGAAATTAACGCGAGTCCGGAGTCAAATACTCCCTGATTTACAGTCGGACTCCTTGATTTGACATATGCAGGAGTCCCTGTGACTCCCTGAAAATTCTGCTATACTAACTAGTTCGTTCCAGAGAATGGCTTTGTGGAATTACCGTATTTTTTCAGCAAATGTGCCAAGAAAATTTGGCAGACGTGCACCGCAAATGTCCTTTTTGTTAATATCTTTAGTTTTTAACTTCAGACTGCGGACTCCCTCATTTTGCTGAGGACTCCCTCTTTTTGAGGGTAGGGAGTCCATTGGATTCGCTTGTTCAAAAGTTAATTTCTACCCCTGCGCCGCGCGTACCTCAGACTGAGTTTCTGTAGAGTGCCCAGCATCATCTCCCTGCTGATACAACGCTGCTCGTGCCGGATACACAGGAACAAGGTCTTCACGAGCTCCGGACACTGCATCATGTGCGTTCTCCCTGCAGGAGGATGATGAGCAAGAGCGTGAACGCACGACCGAGGTGAACGCGGGATGCCGTTCCTGCACATTATAACCATCCCCCTGCACCCACACACACACCAACACCAACACCAACACCAACACGACATCCCCCCACACATACAAACACCAACACGACATCCCCCCACACATACA